GCCATGTTTTTGTAACCATGTTGATGATTCTCACATGAGGTATCAAGGAGAATAATTTGAAACAGCCATTTTACAAAAACAGCAATCGCTTTATCGCTCGAGTGCCATATGCTTTATAGTTACAGTTGCGGTAAATATGGCTTATAAAATGAGCCAAACCCATAAAAATATCGGCGATTGATAAAAAAACAACTAAACACTACACTGCTGTATTGTGTTCTTCATTATAGCATATACTGTACATTGTAGTGATCATACTGTTTATACCATATGTGTGCTTTAACTAATTTAATAACTGAATTGTGCATCTAAAAGTAAAAGGTTCAACAAATAGAACACACCACAATTCCACAACAACAAAAAATTGCAGCCACGCCCAAAAACGTGTGACCACGCCCACAAAATTATTTTGGATGGCCACTTTTGAAATCCTGACTAACACCCTGGGTACTAGTAATACATAATACATGATATCATGTATTATGTATTACTTGGACCATGGAGTGCAAAGTCTCGGAAAATATTAGTCCAACAAATGAGGAATAAAAGGAGAACATACACTATCAAATAGGCAAGTCAATTTCATTTTAAAATTTATATTTTATGACATTTTTACTATAATATACATTACCCCTATATAAAGCCTATACTGACCATTCCGAGATTGGGTCGCCTGTGGTGCAATTAATGATTTTTGTGACAGCTGGGGGGAGTGGGAAATCAAATTTATTTTGTATAAATAACAAACATGGACGATTTAACTAAATTTTGGCACAAGAATGAGTGTAAAAAACATAGTATGGCAAAAAGAGCCTGTGGAAAATACCTGGAAAGATATAATCACAGCAACATGCAGCGAAACGTGAATATATAAGTCTCTTAGTCTGTAATACAATTTATAATGATTTTCTTACTCTAAAATATGTTATTTGAGTTTGAATCATTTGCCCTAGTTTACGTTAATGTGCCTTTATGAGTTTATGATAATTTCCCAAGTTTGTTTACACGATGGTTGGTTGCTATGCAGTTTGCTCCCGGAAGCGCGGGCACAATTGGCGCAGTGGTTATTGCCGTTTCCCTCCAAATTGCAAAATATTCATTCATACAAGCAACATGGCGGCAGCTAGCAGTGATTTCATGCAGTGTTTTTCCAACCTGAAACTTGGCTCTTCTGGCGAGGAAACCGAAAGATCTGAGCGCTTTTGGAATGCCTCGACAGTTGAGTTGGAGTTCGGGGTTGAACGTATGTGGCTGGACGCTGTGTGGAAATGCCAGAACAAGCCAAACTTGGGGATGCGGAATCTCGATCCTATATTAGAAGAGCGTGCATGCTACAAATTAGAATTGGTCGGGCCCCTTATTGATGGCTACTTAACAGAGATTGGGAAAGGGATGTTCGCCAAGCTTGCAAGATCCAGAAATACTGGTCTCATGCCGCCAATAAAGCTGTTTGTGCTGTATTCTATTTTTCGGCATGTTTGCAATATTGTTGTTGGGTACGGCGGCTCGTTGTCCTTAAAGAAAAATCTAATGCTGGTTGAGATTACCAATAGCAATAATGCTGGGAAGGTATTTTCTCCCGTGCAATGTAAAGGCGACAATCTTTTAAGAAAAAGACACTTTGACAAGGTCAGGGAAAATGGAAGGAATATCTACAAATATTCTGGAAGAGCTGCTGTTGTTGTGACCAGCACAACTCCAATTATTTTTTATTACAATACGAAGCAGGAGAAGCTGACCATTCTATTTTATGTGCAAAGGTATGACAAGGATGATTTCTCCTTGGACGCTACTCTTCAAGCACTATTAAACAGTAATCATGTAGAATAGATCTGATAATTTACATGCACCTACTAATTTTAAACACAGTTGTGGAATTTATATATAAATAACCATTTTCAGCTCATTCTTTAGAAGGCAATTTACATACTGTAGCAACACCTCTGGAGTTTAAAATTGGTAGGTGCATAGAGGTAGTAGCAGTCTCATATAAATAGTCACAATATAAATAATCTTTTATGTGCATTTTATTGAGCACAGGTTTTCATCTAGACTTTAGACAAAGAGAGCCAATTAAAATGCACATAATAGCCCTATGAATGAATGTGGTCAGTAATTATTCCTGCTTCAAGTTCAATTTTTATTCCTTCCACTTTCTTTGATTTGTTACAGTGTTTTGTTTAGACTATTTAGTCTTGAAATTTCATACACACAAACAATGTGTGTACAAAGGCCTTTATTTACAATATTTTAATACCACCAGTCGCCATCGGCATTGTATGATTAAATAAAATATCCAATAATGTATATGGTACAAAAATATTGTTTGTTTGCATGAGACATCACATGCTCATCTTGGTTGATTTTAAAGTTTATAGTGAAATATAGTATTTTCTGGTTTGCACTTGCTTTGAAAACAGCTCATGAATGCATAAGTTACAGTTTCTGGCCAAATATGAAATTAAAACAATGAAGAATGTACATTGTTTATGGTTGTCATCTGTATTTGAAAAGTCAACCAAGATATCATTGATCGATAAATTGCAAAGAAGCAATTGTGCCACAAGACCAGTATTTCAAGATCTGCCAAATTAAACCAACTAGAATCATTTGGTGTTAGACAGATTAAATAACAAATTAACTCTTTAAGTACTTTACTCTGTCTAATGCCAGACAATTTTACTCGTC